AGTAAAACTAGCAATGAGATACAGCCTTGGTCTGACGCAAGAAGCAAGTCATTTGTAATTTTAACAAGTGCAGTTTCTGTGCTATGGTGGGGCCTGAAACCTGACTGAAATTCTTCATAGAGATCATTTTTTTAAAATTAAATAACTTATTAATTTACTGAGGGGTTAACGTGTTTTTCACTTTAAAATAATGGTCCAGATCACTAGTAGTTCCTTAGTAGCACTTTAGCTTTAAAGTGAAAAATACATTAGCCTCTCACTAATTACTCAAGCGTTACCTTGTCAGCCTGCAGGAACTACTAGTGATCTGGACCATTATTTTAAAGTGAAAAACACCTTAACCACTCAGTAATTACTAAGTAATTTAATAAGTTATTTAACATATTTTATATCTGACACATACATTTGTGTGAGGCACTAGTGATATTTTACCAGACGCTGTAATCTGGAATATGCGGTTTTGTGCTTAACACAATATAAATGCAGTCGATGCCTTCATTAAGGATGTGAATTGTTTTTGTCAAGAGAACATCATTATTTATATTCAAGAAAAGTCCTCCCCAGCCTACTGTCACTAAAGGTATAGGTCTTTTGGAGTCGGAGACATACTGAACTGACACACACTAGAGCTCATAATTGTGAACTAATTCAATCACTTCCTAATTATTAACATTTTTAAATGAATTATTTGTATTATTATTTTATGTTTTTGTTTTAAATAAACAGAGAACGTCCATCCTTTGGTAAGAGTAGTAGTCACAATTTAAACCTGTAGCCGACTTATTTGGGGGATATCATATTCATAAATTAGTTTCCACAAAGAACCCAATTGTTCACTTTTAAGACGTTACTGTTGTGATTAGTAATTAATTCGTTATTCTTCATTAATTGGTCATAGTTCACAAGTAGTTCTCAATGAGGATATATTATTTTAGTAATTATCAAATATCTAATAAGGAACTACTTTTGTCCTAAATTTGCTACTACTAACTGCTTAGTTAATCTTGCTTCTCTATTAGTTAATAGTATTAAGTTAAGTGTTAATGTAGTACTACCTATTACTTCCTGCATAGTTACTTGTTAACAACGGACCATTATTCTAAAGTGTTACCGAAAATTCTGTCATTAATTACTTACCAATATGTTGTTCCAAACCTGGTATGGTAGCCATACCAAAACGGCTTGGTTATCAACATTCTTCAAAATAATTTATTTTGTGTTGTGTATGCCTTTCTTTCTTCTCTGGAACACAAAAGAAAATATTTTGAAGAATGTAGGTAACTGGAATATTTTGGTTACCATTGACTTCCAATGAATGGATTAAAAAAAATATTATGTTCCAAAGAAGAAAGTAAGCCATACAGGTAAATGATGACCGTTTTGGGTGAACTATCAAGAAAATTATTTTTGCAATAAAGGGAGAGAGAGAGCGAGAGAAAAAAAAAACAGACAACTCAAGATATGCTTTAGACAGAATTTTTCCTTGAATTGTATTGACCAGCCAAGCCCATAGACACACAGCACTGGACTTATCCCAAAAAAAATTATTCGTTATTTTAAAATACGAGGCTTTAAAGGTTAAACATGTAGCCAGTTTCCAAAAAGTCTGAAATATATTTGACTTTGTGAACTTTGTGATATAAAGTTCTGTTTGAAAGAGCCCTGCAATCAAGAAGTGCCGAGCAAGTGATTATGTTTGATTCAGCGGAGCTCTGACACATATATAGAGTCATTCAGTGAGGAACAGAGGGCCAAAAGAGGCATTTTGATTTTACGCTTGGAATCAATTAAAGGGTGAAGAAGGAGGAACCAGTGGCACAGGGAAAGAATAATGAGGTGGAGGTGTGTGTGTGTGTGTGTGTGTGTGTGTGTGTGGAAATTAGAAAATAAAAGAATATTACATTTACATTTCTATTTAATTTTTTGAAAGATTTTGCATTCAAAATCAATTCAAAGCGCCCATTACAAAAATAACTCAAGCCAGTATATGTGTGTGTTTGCACATACCTTTGTCTGGTTTTGCTGAAAGCTTTAATAACAGCATTTTTTCTTCTTGGAATTGTGGACTTCATTTTCTACAAATTAAAAACACACACCAGTTATACACATCATACAATCATCAAACTCACATATATCAGCAGCAATAAAAGTATTAATGAATGAAGAGAAAACTAAAACAAATATGAATTTTAGTTATTATTGCAACCATCTGTGCAGTGAGAGAAGAAACTATCCACGCCTTTCAGATAATCTTCCTTCTTCCTATGACATCTGGTGTGAACGCTTCACTGACCTTTCAAAAAGGAGATGTGGTAAGGGCTTGTAATTCTTTGTTTATTTATTTTTAAATCACAGGGGGGAAAAACTGCACAATATTAGTCTATTATTCTGGTGGGCACATTAAAATATTCCATTCTGAATTGCCAATAGAAATTCTTTCATAATTTTGAACACATCCAAAAGGATCCTAATAGAATCAATGTGTCACACTTTGCTTACGGGAGGAACAAGGAGACGTGGAGATTTCACAAAACGAGAGTCTTTAATAATCCAACAGGGAGACACAGAGCACAAGGAAGACGTTCAAGACCCGACAAGGAAACATGAGGCAGATTACACATTTATACTAAACTTAACGAGGGACAGACAGGTGCGGGGAATCAACTAATAATGAGACGAGAACAGGAACATGACCAAATAAAGGAACACTGAAACAGAAGCAAAACAGGTCCATAATCCTGACATATCGCCACCCTCCCGGAAGGCGAGTCCTCGCACCGTAGAACAGAGGGGGGGGGAACGGGTGGGAACTAAGGAGGAGGCTCGGGAGGAGGATGGGCACCTGGGAGGGGGCCGGCAGACAGAGACCAGGGAGGCGAATGGCCGCCGACTCCAGGGGGCCGACCAATGGCGGCGGAGCAGCTGATGAGCCAGGGCGACGGGGAGGATCCAGAGGTCCTAGGCGGAGCAGATGGCACCAGCGACTGACGCAAAGGCGTGGATCTGGGAGGCCGCAGTGGAGCCGGAGCAACAGAGGACTGAGGAGGAGCCGAGGGGATGAAGGAGCCTGATGGAGCCTGATGGAGCCTGATGGACGAAGGGACGAGGCGAAGCCGGAGGAGTGGAATCCCGAGGCGCAGGATGGTTGATGCCAGACCAAGGGGGAGCCGGAGGAACGAGGGAGCCCGGCGGAGCTAATGCACTGCCGGGCCACGGCGGAGTGGAGGGAGTTAGGAGCCATGGTGGAGCCGACGGCTGCGCTCACACCGTCCGCGGCTTTCTCCCTCGTGGTGGCCGTTGTTGCTGGCTCACACACCTTGACTGACGTCATCAGCAGCTCTGGCTCTGTGGCGATCCTCAGCTCTGTCGCTCCGTGCGGCGATGGCTCATCGGGCTCCGGCTCTCCATCAGCGGTGGGCTCGGGCATGCGCTCCGCGCAGCGGGGAGATGGTGGGCTGGGCACTGTGTCCGGAGTGTGTCCACTCCACAAAGGCGGCAAAGTTCGCTCGAGGACCATCTTCGGACGACAGTGCTCTGCATGAGATGTTTAAACTGGCATCGTAGAACGCACAGAGCGTGTCGTCCTGGTAGCTGGTTAGAGCAGCGAGGACCAGGAACAGTCTAGTATGGCCCTCGAGCGATCTCTCCCCCTGCTCCAGCAGGAGGAGGAGGTACTCCGGACGGGTGAGGGGATCCATGGATAACACAACGAAAACAAAACACTGAGAGAAAAAAACCGGAAACAAAAACGGAGGGTAGACACACAGATGTAACTGTTTCGGTCGGGTCTTCTGTCACACTTTGCTTACAGGAGGAACGAGGAGACGTGGAGATTTCACAAAACGAGAGTCTTTAATAATCCAACAGGGAGACACAGAGCACAAGGAAAACATTCAAGACCCGACAAGGAAACATGAGGCAGATTACACATTTATACTAAATTTAACGAGGGACAGACAGGTGCGGGGAATCAACTAATAATAAGACAACGAGAACAGGAACATGACCAAATAAGGGAACACTGAAACAGAAACAGGGGCAAAACAGGTCCATAATCCTGACACAATGAAGATTTCCACAATGAATCAAATAATATTATATTACACAGGGCCCAGCATAATATTAGCTCATATAATTTTCCGTAAGAAAAGATTTCCTAGGCTTCCTATTTCATGCATATTAATATAAACGTGTTGAGTCTACATCAGATATGATAGCCCAGTAAGCACACATACATATCACAAAGACATCTGTTAAAGATCTGGAAAGCACTGCATTCTAGTTGTGGCAGGGAACGTGTGGAGACACACTGCAGATGAGCAGATGCTCTTAAAAGAAAAAACATCACATCGCAAAACACATCAAGTAGATGCCTGGGCAACATATACACGTGATATCAGGATGGGTCTGAATGAAAAAAAAAAATCATTCACAGAACAAACCATCCAAACAGGATTCTGTTCTGTGAAACCTCTCAAAGTAAGAATAGCATTAACCTCCAACCTAACCAACAACACCATTTAGAAAACATTAAAAAATTATATTAATACCACTTTAGAAAAATAAATCCAATTTCTTTCACTCATAGATCAAAATGTCTTTTTAACCGCATTCCAGAAAATCCAGATATTATGCTCACAGAGTTATGTAATTATGCACCTGGGCTAAAGTGGAATCCATTTAGTATTTGATGAAAATATACTGCAATACCGAGAAAGGCAGAATGGCTTTTGTCCGCGTAATGCATTGCATGTATCGTGTGTGTGTGTGTGTGTGTGTGTGTGTGTGTGTTTGCAGCCATCAAAGCCAGCCATGCACTTCCCCTCATAAACACCATCTGACTTTACACACTGTAATCTAGAGGGCATCTTCATTTTGTCCTGCTCCTTCATCATCATCCTCTTCCTCTTCCTCTTCCATTCAAACTGACTAAGTAGCCATTAACTGGCCTTTCAATTTCCTTTTATTTCATCAAATAAAAAAGAACCTCCAGTAAATAGCCACAGTAAATACCACACACAAACAGGCACTTTATATATATATATATATATATATATATATACCTTCAGCATCATTGCTCTGTCCTCCACAACTTATTAAAACCTCCATGAACAGCTTTCACCAAATTAATCCCATTACTGGATCAAAAATACTATTAATAACAGACTGGGATTTTTTTCAACCTTTTTCAGAGTGAATTGTGATAATCTTTGCTGAATACAGGTAAATCTACTCATAAGTTACTGGGCAGCCTATTAGAAAAACAATTACTTCCAAGAGCCAGAACAGAGTCTATATTTAATTTGTGTAGAGGCTTTCATATCTGGACACCACTCACCACCAGTGGTGTGAATATCAGCAGACAATATTAAATATGAGCTAAAAGCATGAACTATTACTAAGCATGTTTATGAAAATGTCTCAAGTACTGCTTACTTACCCTCAGTTTGAGGTCCAATCAAGGACACCTTACGTAAATCAGTTGCTGAACTTACACACACACACACACACACACACACAATAAATTCTCCTTTTCATCCACAGGCCTGGTCACCGGTCCACTTCTGGTAGATTGAAGGTCAGTGCTGTTTGAGACCTTCTGATGTGGACTCATTTTCATCCATATCCCTCAATCATCCTCGGCAAGGCTTCCCTAAATCTTCTCATTCACAGAAAACAAAAAATATATATACATCAATTTCCACAAAGGAAATGATATCGGATTGTCTTTGAGAATATTATTATTTTTTTCAATCATAAAGGGGTTTAATATTATCACCCTGATGAGAAGTTGTCTGGATCTTGGTTTGAGGAACTTTACCCACCCAACCCATCTCCCGTCCCCCCACAACTTTTTCTTTTCTCTTTAATTTTCATTACTGTCCTCTTCCTTTCACCCTCCCTCCTTGGCAAGGCTTTCTCAATTCTTTCCCTGTTTGTCTTTCTCTCTCTGTCTCGTTTCCCTCACACACATTCTTTCTGTCTCACTCTCTCTCTAAATATGGACATGGAGGTTCAAGTTCCAAGGCCCCCCACTGGATGTTATTGTCACTACAGAAACTATTAAAAATAGTTGTTTTATATAAAAAAGTTCAGCTTTGCAATCAGCAGCAATTCAATATTTCAGTAAACGCTGTTTTGAAACAGGCCATGATGAATGTTTTAACAGTCCAGCTTCACACTGAACATTCATTGCAGAACTAATGGCCACATCTCAAATGCAGTTTCGCGGTTCATGACCTACTTGGTGAAAAAATACCAGCAAATAGAAGATAATTAGCCAGCTTTTGAACTGTAATCTATCAAGCAGCAGCTAAATTTAGATGAAAGGCAAAGAAAATAACAGAACACCCTTTTCAAAAAGCTTTAGAAAGTTTTAATTCATGGGCCATAATACTTGCAGATGAAGCTCAGAGTGCGACAGAGTTGTGACAAAGGTCTGAGTCACACAAGAAGTTTTATCAGATTGCCTCCATCTTCTAACTTCTTCCCTTATAAGATACAGCATTTTATTAGCACTTGTACACAGACAAAACCCAAATATACCCTTAAATGTCTATTTTATTTAATTGGCTATGTATTTACCTAGTAAGATCTTATTTATTTGCCTTGGATGAATTTGAAGACATAATTCATGAAGATATCATCTGTTATTGCACTAGAGTGACCCAAAGTACAGTAGTACTTGTACATTTAAATTACACTGTAAATGTGTACATTTTATTACATTAAACATATATATCAAACAGCATCTGCCAGCACATGAGGATTGACCTCTCCTTTTCAAATTTTTTGGTCTTAAAAAGGTCATTAAGTGTTTTTACATGTCAATGCACTGATAATTATGAAACATCAAAAACAAGAATAAATGAATTTATCATTTTCTTTCTCTGTTTTGATATCAAAATGTAAACAGACTTTGAAAAAATATCAAAACACAGGCATAAATGAGTTTACACGCAGGGTGAAAATTGGAGTAATAAGGAAAAACCATTGTGTGCCAATCACTTTTTCATTCCATTTAAGAATTGAAAGAACACAGTTTAATACTCTTTTTCTCTGTTCTGTGTGCTTGTGTAGGTGTCTTTGAAAAAGATTTATTTGTAAGGGTGCTAGGGCTGGAAGAATTGCCAGAGCTAAAGTTTGAGAATCAAGAGCTTGAACTTCTTCACCAGAACTCATGCAGGGTGGAAAGCACTCAACCTGCATAAATGACAAATGAATTCATTCTGCTGTATAAATGAAGTGCAGCTTTACACTAAGAAAGTCATGCAGAAGAGGCTGATGATAACACTTGCTTAAGACACAAGTCGTGAAGTAACAAACCCAACTTCTCCTTTAAGACAAACTGAATATTATAACTTCCCCTTTAAGAGATGGGCCACAACTTTAGCTGGTTGAGTGTTGAAATGATGATTGCACACACATTTGATTATTAACAGAGATATCAAAAGCTCACTCACACCCCACATATGGCCACACGTACACAATCATACACAAAAAATATGCACACACAAACTCACAATGAGCAAGAGAACCCTATGATTTCGACCAATGTATATTTATAATCAGAGATTAACAAGAAGAACTTGTTCTATTCTAGTGAACAGTGTTTGAATATCATCTAAAAACATACCCCCCCCCCCACACACACACACACACACACACGCACACACAGCCACACACAAACACACATGCACACTTATAGACATAAGTAGTACACATTCATGCACAAATATGACCAGACTGGACACACACACTGTAATACACAAACAGATGCACGTAGCAACAGAGACATGGATATGTTCAACAGAACATAAACTAATGAAATAGATTTTTATTTTATATTTGATGCTTTGATAGGAGCAGATAAGAGCATCTATGTATGCGTGTGAGAGTGTGATATGAGTGTATGTGAGTCATCATGACTGGTGTGGTTGTAACGCTTTGCTGATCTATATCTCCATCTAGTCACACTGTAAAGCTGCAGTCAAGATCTGATCCAAACCAGAACCGAAACCCAGATCCCTCCAAACCAAGCTTCTGATTAAATATATACCTTTAAACAACTCCCTTTCTCTCTTTTTCTCAAGCCTTATTCTTTTTTTGTCTGCTATTTTGTCTGCTGTAGATAACTGCATGACGAGCATAAAAACAGAAAAGAGGTGTCTCTTCGAAGGAAGCGTCGTTTTCTTTAGAAGGTGTAACTGAAATTTCCCTCTCTTTCTTTCAAACACACTCTGTGAGAATCAAGCCCGAAACTTTGCTGTTGTGACACGCTCTCAGCCGCAGTGTGGAGGGTGGAGGCTGTTGAGTGCAGTCATGGTTGTGACTCAGAGATCACTGAACATAAGCTTTACTGAGTGAATTCAGAAAAATAAAAAAAATTCATGTACAATTCCATACATATTCTGATCCGATTTCATAGATATAAATTGGAGGGTATGCGTCATGGTGTGTATGTGTTTGTATGGTCGCTTCTTCATCTGCTGTTTTTCTTAGCATCCGTTTTTTTTTGTGTGCTGTAAATCTTACAATATGAATGTAACTGCACATTAACATAATTGTCATCCTCCTTCTGACACACATTAATATGCATGCCCTCAATAACACAGTACACACTCCTTCCCTTTCCAGAACTGCATTATAATTACCATCTTTTGCACTCTTCATTATGCTCCTCTTTTTCTTTGTCTTCCAGTGAAAATTTAATGAACAGCAATACCAAAAAAAAACAATGAACAGCAGATGAACCAGCTGAGCAACACTGTAAGATATGCTCATACTAGCCAGAGCCATCACTTAAAAAATGTATGTAACCATCATCAACACAAGACAGTAGCAGCTACACCAGCTAGTAAATTAGTAATTCTACCACAGTTAAAGAACTGCTGCTTAACAAACATTCTTAAAATAAATGTTAAACATAAGCATACTGTATAATCCTTGTTTACACAACACAATCGCTCCACGTTCACTGTACATTTTAGACTTGGATCATGTCATGTCAGTTAAGCTTATCCTCTATACAGCAACAGCAAAAGGAAAATAAGGAAAGTGTTAGCATATCTGCATTATCTTTATATAGTAAATTATATGTAACAAATTATGCAAATGTAAACCTAAAATGCTTAATTCACTCCTGAAATACTGTAAAAGGAATTAAAAGTGTCTCTGTTTTTGGCACCATTCTTGTAATTGCAGGCAGCATGAATTTGGCAATGCTTTGTTTCTCACCCACATCGTCTCAGCTGCGTGAGACAGACTCTCAAGCTGGTCGATGGACCACCAATGCTGCATGCTGTGCAGTGAGTCATGTACATAAGGAAAACACTGAGGAATACTAAACATTGACTTTAATCTCAAAAAGTGCAGTTTTTTTGTCCATAATTCATGTGAATCTCCATAGACTTAAAGTAACTATCAGTACACATATTAGTGGAGCGCCCTCAAGTTAAGTATCTTTCTTAAGGACATATGAAGGACTCATGACTTGTTTTTACTCATCAGTCTATTTGGTTACGGGCCATTCACAAATTTTACTAGCCAAAACAAAAATATAATAAATAAACTAGATTTCAATATATTTATTATAAAATCTGATTGACAAACTGAATCGCTTGCATTTTCTGTCCTACCTGTTGCAAAATTCTCTATAACTTCCCTTTTAAAACAGCATTTTTTTAAATTGTAAACTCCAAATGAAGCTTACTTCAAAAAACATTGATTAGCACAGAGGATGTCGGTTCATAAAATGATCAGCTGTTTCCTCACCAAAAAGTCACCGTACTAAACTCAGCTTGAAGAATCTCCTTCACTGACATCCATTCAAAAAAGCTATCCCGGTCTCACCACCAACATACCCATGGCATGCAAAGTGAAAGAACATAATCATAACCTGCCAAGTTACACACAGTGGTTGATTTTCAGGTGAATTTTGGCAGGTTGGCGGGTGTTAATTTCAATCCCTAGACACAACACTGATAGCTCATGGCCCACAGGGGCAAACATTGTCACTTCTTTTTACTTTTGAGGTGACAAAAAGCTATTTAGCTATGACTTTAACAGCTTTTTTTAAACCAGCCAAAACAATGTGAACACTCCAAGTTTGACCAGTAGGTTTGTTCTCTGCACTGCATGAGCAATTAAATTTTCATAAAAGCACATTACAGTGCATTAAAGCGACAGTAAGTGGCAGGAAGGCACAACGGGTATAAAACACTCAAACTTGATTAGACTGAACTAGCACACAGCCAACCTGTTTGCATTAACTTGACTACTGCTACATCCCTCTAATGATTCAGTCATTCTTAATAGGGCAAAAGACTCATCATCAGCCATTAAATTCACTGTTTCCTCTCCTTGCATGTATAAACAGCTGTCTGAAAAACAAATCATTGTTATCAACAATGTGAATGTCTTCACTCAATAACATTTTTTATTTATTTAGTATTACCTCTGGTGAAATGTAAAAATTATTTTATAAGCTACTGAATCATTTAATTGTGTGAATTGATCAAGGCTGCGTTTCCCAAAAGCTTCATTAGCCTAAGTAGATTGCAGAGACCATTAATGCCTATGGTTTCAGCACAGCCCAGAATGTTGTAAAAAAAATTTAATTAATTTAGTAACTTATCTAAAATTTAAATATGTGACCCTGGACCACAAAACCAGTCTTAAGTCGCTTGGGTATATTTTTAGCAATAGCCAAAAAAACATTGTATGGGTCAAAATTATCGATTTTTCTTTTATGCCAAAAATCATTTGGATATTAAGTAAAGATCATGTTCCATGAAGACATTTTGTAAATTTCCTACCGTAAATATATCAAAACTTAATTTTTGATTAGTAATATATGCATTGCTAAGAACTTCATCTGGACAACTTTAAAGGTGATTTTCTCAGTATTTTGATTTTTTTGCACCGTCAGATTCCAGATTTTCAAATAGTTGTATCTCGGCCAAATATTGTCCTATCCTAACAAACCATACATCAGTGGAAAGCTTATTTATTCACTTTTTAGATGATGTATAAATCTCAATTTCAAAAAATTGACCCTTATGACTGATTTTGTGGCCCAAGGTCACATATGTATATAAATTGCATCCTGATTCCTGGATTTTATTGCTTATAAATGTAGCTCATAAAGTACAAAGGCAGTCAAACTACAACCCAACTTGACGATCCAGTGATACGAAGTGCTTGATGCCTGACCAGGCCATCTGCCTATTGGGAAGGTCTATGGTTGAAACTGAGCTCATTCGTCAGCAGTGTTTGGGCATAAAGGCGTGAAAACTCTCACAACACCAGACCTCAGAGCATCCAACATCCCCCACCAGAAATTCACACAATACCACATGACAGCTGAGCACAAAAACACCAATCAACCACAAGAGCAGTCTGTGAAGAGTTTGTCTGTTGCAACTGGACTCTAAAAGCAGTTCAGCTGCTGGCAGCACTACGAACCTCAAACTTCAACTTTTCCCTGTGTTCTCAAATTGTTTAAAAGGCAGCTGAAAAGCCAAAGCCAAAGCTTCTTAATGAGACTGGCAAAGAATCAGATCCTCACTTCTCAAAATGATGTTCGTATTATTTACAATTTACACTTTAATAAACTGTAATCCATCCCTTCCAGCCAGCGACGCTGAGCACCAGGAGGGCCTGAAGACTCCGCTCAACCATAACTCAAATGTAGCTTTTTCATTTTTTACCCACTGCACTTTAATACAGTAAATTAACCCACATACTGATTAAAAAGTTTGTTGGAATGAATTTGAGTTTCATATTATTTTTCCATTAGTGAGATGACGTATTGGCCAAGTATGGTAACGCATACCCAGAATTTGTCTTCTGCATTATCCCCATCCAAGTGCTCACACACAGCAATGAGTAGTGAACACACACACCATGAACACACACCCAAAGCAGTGGGCAGCCATTTGCTGTGGTGCCCTGGGAGCAATGGGAGTTAGGTGCCTTGCTCAAGGGCACCATTCGTGGGTGTTGAAAGTGGAAGAGAGCACATTAGTGAGGACATTACTGAGGAGGGGAAAGGCATGTTTAAGTCTAGGCGAGAACTGCTGGGTTGTGTTTGTGATATTAAGTGCATTAAAGTATAATTGAATTCCAAATCCATCCAACAGTTTTCAAAGACTGCAGGGTTAATGCCATTAGAAGTTGTCAGACCAGGCTCTCCACAGGAGATCCAAAAGTAATATCATGTCACTGTGTTCAGAGGGAGACTTCAATGGTGTCCATGTTTATTCATCTGACCAGAAACAAGTATATGTTTGTTTCATAGGATACAATGCTCATGTTAACTAAAAAGAAAATGCCCCATATGCACACACACACTCTGAATATATCTCAAGCATGGACATTGTTGGCAGCTTTGAGTCTAAATGGAGTCAGGAACTCTGGCAACTTAAGGCAGATCTAAGGATTGTGCACATGAAAAGTCTGTAAAATATAGAGCCCAATGTATTGTGTTACTATGAAGGAACTTTCTGAATTGATTTTTCACAGGTGTTTTACCCATTAATTATGCATTGTGTTGCATTTTAGGGTAAAATTGTCTGTAAACATAACAGGAAAAGGTACTGGTCATTTTCTGCCAGAACATTATCTATTTTTCTACATTTCTTCTTTTACAGGGAAGGCTGAGCCAATGCAACTCACACAGGGCTACAGTTTGTGGAGTAATTTGGTGGGAGAGTTTGTGGCTGTTATTGCAAACTCAGAGCCTTTTTTTTTAAACATTTCACAACTACTTTAACACATACAGTGTTGTCTCTTAACCTCCAGATATTTCCTGCTCTAAAGGCTGCATGTTATCTTCCCCCTTCTACTTCCTCCTCGTGCTGGTGGCTTATTAGTGATCACACACATGCTGTCCACTTCACACAAACACTCATCAGCGCCTGATACATACGTGCCCCTGAGAGCACACGTCCCCGCGGAAGCAACACCGGCCAACACCAGGAGACCTGCAGATCCAACAAACGCTGAAGCAAGGAACCCAAAGGTTTGAACATCTCCTCAGCTAGGCTAGAAAGAGAACACAAGAACACTAGTATTAAAAAAGGAAGAGCAGTAAAGAGAAACTGAGCAGCATGGTGGGCATAGAAAAACGTCCATTAAATAATCCAAAATTTGAACTTGTATGAGGTCTTTCATAGGATTTTGATTTTTTTTTTCAATCCTTTTTCATTACCTGATATTTTGAGCTGGATGCTGCACTCCACTCAAGGACTCTCTTTGGTATTCAGTCTGAAAAATCTTTCTAAAAACTTAAGAATCATTGATTATTCAGTTTGTTTGAGTACATCTGACGAACGGAGTGAAAGGGAAAGATATTTCTGAACTAAACACGCTTTAATATAATTTTTCTCATCTCTCCAGGTCTATTCACACATCTACCAGTCTCTCTCTGATCTAGACTCTTCTCTTAGAGTATTTGACAGACTGTGGTTGACACTCGATTTAAGGGGGTGTCAGTTTGTCAAATACCCCAAGAGAGGGGGCACGAGTCTCCAAAGTTCAGCGACACCTCGTTTGACACAAGCGACAGAAACATGTAGTGCCCCCAGAACAGCCTGAGGTTAAGTATAGGTTATAAGGTGATTCTTGAGTTCACCACCTTGGTTTTTTGGATGAAGGACCTTTGGCTTACTTGCCCGAAGCTTTAAGCAGTACTGATCTAATGGTCTTATGCTGTGTAGGCTAACAACAGTATTAACTTGCTGTGCTGTTCCACTTTGACTCACACATTCACATTGATCCAGAAGCATGCGATTTTAAACTTCCAAACATGCAGTTGAGTTGGAGGTGAGTCTAATGCACATGCGTTATAGGCGTTGCTAAGCCCTAAGTACAAATATTGTAATGTATTCTTTCAAGCAAGCTTCTAAGTCACAACATCACTTAAGGCAATAAATATTCATCCCATTCTTTGCTGTTTTAAGATTCATTTAGGTGATAAACAGAGGCATACTGGTGGGTCACGTTCAATTTATTATTTTGTCGAATTTCAAAGTACCATGTTCCTATGCCATCAAACAGAACAAGACAAAAACAACTTTGGAAAAGAAAAATATTTCTGACTATATATTAAATGTAAAGTTAACATGTTGATTGTACGTGCGAGAGCTTGTGTATCATTTGCTGCTCACTGCCTCTTGTTTTCCTTGTTGATCATTGATCTCTTGCGGAACGTGAACTGTCATTCCATCCATCCAGTGCTCCACAGACACCTGACACCCCAAACGAGATCTGAATCAACGACAGGACAACATAAAAAAAAATGTATCACAGTCAATATTTTAGTAATAATTTTTGCAGTATAGTTTTAACTCAAAGTTTGTCATTTGACGAAAACATCCATTACATGTTTTTCACAAGGACAGTTTTCGTCATGGTCTAAGATGCATTGATGTGATTACAGACATCCCACTCTGCAAAAACTAATTTCAGTGAGGTAGCATTACCACCACCCCATTTATAATCTAATCTAATCTAATCTAATATAATATAATATAATATAATATAATATAATAAAAAAATATTATTTTATATTATATTATATTATATTAGATTATATTAGATTAGATTAGATTAGATTAGATTAGATTGCATTAGATTAGATTAGATTAGATTAGATTAGAGTTTTGCCTCTTCGTGTAGTAATACATGAATAAAGCCCCTAAATTTGAATAACATTAGCACCAAAAATCATAGCATTTATCCTTTTCATTTTTCTTCTTTCATGCTCACCCGTAAACGGTAACTGCATCTCGGCTGACAACTTGTTAAAGGTTCACTGAAAATGCACTTTAATGCCATGTAAAGTAAATACCATTGCTCTCTCGATTTCCGGGATATTGTATATAATTTGAGGGAGTGGGATGTGCTATCAATATCGAGAGACTCTCAGACCTTCTGGGAGAAGTCAGATGTCTGTGATTAGCAATGGTTGAATCCTCTACAATCATTCTAACTCACTTAAAGCATTACTGACTTAACACTCTGACACTTTAGATCCAGGTGTCTTACGTCTTGGTGAGTCCATAAGCTAAATCCAGCATGTCAACCTCTTCATCCACTATTGGTTCCAGTTTGTCATACACGCTCTCCTCAAATATCAGGTGACAGGTGGAACAGGCCAGAGTGCCCTCACATGCTCCTAAGACACAAACATACACACACACAAACTTTTAAAAATATATATTTTTATTTTTTTTTGCTAATAACACTAAAAACTGTCAGTCGTCCATTTATAACATGTTTCATGCAAAGCGTCTAAATAAATAATAAAATTGGGCCTTAATTGTTCTGTAAACACAATTTCTGTACATAGTACCTTTCATATCCCATGTTCCCTCCTGGTGGAATGACCTGCCCAAATCAATCCGAACAGCTGAGTCCTTAACCATCTTCAAGAAACGACTAAAAACACATCTGTTCCACCTTTATTTGACCCTCTAACTCTAACACTTTCTATTCTATTTTAATTCTACTTTATCTGGATAAATAAAATATGTGTGTGTGTGTGTGTGTGTGTGTAAGTTATGTATAACTATAATAAGAAGAAATATAACTTGAGATCCTGCACAGATCTGTAGTTCCCTTTCAGTCGGTCACGTTCCACGTACGTCGGAACTGACCGACGAATTGGGGATCGCTTTGGGAGACCAATCTACTTCGAGTGTAAGAAAGACGAGTCAATGCACATTGGCATGCAATAATTGCCACAGCTGCTCTGCACTGCAGCGCGAGTATTTAATGAGCAGCCGGTGTGTCGCATATTTGCTTTTCGCTTCATAGCCAAACACATGTGCTGTTCCTGCTTATGTGTTTTCTTCGGAAAGTGGTGGAAGACGAGCTGCTCGTTTAGGAAGGAGCCTCTGTGTGTCTGGTGTGACGGCGCTGACAGTGTTGGTCGCGATCTCACGAGAGAGAAAAAACAGCTGTTCTCACAGCTCACTGGAGAGTGCGCCTTCAACGAGAGTGTGAGTGCTCACAACAGGCTTGCACTATTTGTACTGTTGTGTGCGCGTTTCAGCACCAGTAGAGGGCAAATTCCTAAAAGAGCACACACGGTTTGACCCTGCGTCTTTTTCAAGATGTCATTCAGACAGTGTGCTACTGGATGCGGTCGATACCTGGCCCCCTGTGATGGTCATGATTACTGCCTCACGTGTTTGGGCCTCGCACACGCTGAGGTGGCACTCATGAATGGTACATGTTCTCACTGCGGGAACATGACCATCTCAGTGTTAAGGTCGAGACTCCAGTATCTTGAAGAGACTGGAGCCCCTTCATATATTCCCCGATCTAGTCCTTCTTCTGGGCCAGCTCAGAAGAAGCCTACTTCGGTTAATAACCTAGGTGACCTGACGATTACAGTGAGGAATACCCCGCCGTCAAACTCCTCGGGCTCCTCACTCCTCCATGACACTGCAACCAGTGGAGCTTCCAAGAGGGCGTGCTGGTCCGCCTTGTTGTCACTTTTGGGGATCCCCCGGAGGACACTGCATCGGAGGGTGAAGATTCAGCTGCGCTGCCCCTTCGGGTGTGGCAGCGTTGTCCGAGTCAGACCCAGAGATGGCTACTATGCTTTCCCCGGCCGCTGCGAGTGTCGGGCTCGAGTGGAACCCTCCACCGTGTCCCGAACCCTCGCGGCTGGACGATTGGTTTCTTGGAGTGGCCCGTGCTGGTTCTCAGCGCTCCGCCCCAGTACCTTTCTTTCCAGAGGTGCATGAAGAGGTGACTAAACCGTGGACGGCACCTTTTTCTGCCCCTCGGCGAAAGGGTAACGCCCAGCCCGTCTCGGCCCCCGCCAAACCAGGCGGTAAGCGTAAGGGTAAGCGGCCCTGAGACGGGCGAACCCAGAGATGGGAGGATCTGCTCTCCGGGAGATGGTGTCCGCACCACTCCCTCCCCCGGAGGAGGGCCGGGTGGAGAATCCTTTGTTTCCTTTTGTTTTTGTTCCACAGCTGGCTCCTCGGTGTCCAGCGGTACCCACATTTTCAAAAAATCTCTGGGTCACAAGAGGGCGCGGTTGGCAGTGTGCGATGTTTTGCAAACACCTTGCCACTCCCTTCCCCCTCTCTCTTCGCCAGCAGGCAGCAGTGTGTGGGTCGAGGACGCCACCAGGCCTTCTCTCACACCCTCTGCCCCACCCGAGAACCAGGTAGGTGTGGCGCAGCACACGCAGACTCCACTTCACCTCTGTGCGGAGCAGCGATGCCCCTGTCTTACGGACGGAGATCGGCGTCCTACTGGCGAAGGACGCGAACGAGCCGGTCCCTCCAGCCGATATGAAGGCAGGGTTTTACAGCCCCTACTTCATTGTGCCCAAGAAAGGTGGTGGGTTACGGCCAATCTTGGACCTGCGAAACTTGAACCGGGCCCTGCACAAGCTCCCTTTCAAGATGTTAACGCATTTTCGAGTGCATCCGTCCCCGAGATTGGTTTGCAGTGATCGACCTGAAGGACGCGTACTTTCATGTCTCGATTCTCCCTCAACACAGGCCGTTCCTACAGTTTACGTTCGAGGGTCGGACTTATCAGTACAAGGTCCTACCCTTTGGGCTGTCCCTGTCGCCTCGCGTCTTTACGAAGGTCACGGAGGCAGCCATTGCTCCACTCAGAGAACACAGCGTTCGCATTCTCAACTATCTCGACGACTGTCTGATACTGACACAGTCTCGGGACCAGTTGTGCGAACACAGGGACATGGTGCTCCGTTGAACCCTCCTCGTCCTACCTCGGTACCCTCTTGGGACCTGTCTCTGGTGCTTACGGCACTGCAGAGACCTCCCTTTGAACATTTGCAGTCAGCTGAGTTGAAAATTCTGTCACTAAAGACAGTTCTCCTGACTGCATTGGCTTCCATCAAGAGGGTAGGGGACCTGCAGGCATTTTCGGTCGATGAATCGTGCCTAGAATTCGGGCGGGCCAACTCTCATGTTGTCCTGAGACCCCGGCCTGGATATGTGCCCAAGGTTCCTACTACTCCCTTCAGGGACCAGGTAGCGAGCCTGCAAGCACTGCCCTCGGAGGAGGCAGACCCAGCCCTAGCTTTTCTCTGTCCCCTCTGTGCTCTGTGGCTGTACGTGAACAGAACACAAAGCTTCAGTACCTCAGACCAGCTCTTTGTCTGTTATGGAGGCCAGCAGAAGGGAAAGGCTGTCTGTCTCCAAAGAGAGGTTAGCCCACTGGATAGTGGATGCTATTGTCTTGGTTTACCAATCCCAAGACGTGCTTTGCCTGTTCGGGTTGCGAGCACACTCAACTAGGAGTGTTGCTTCCTCCTGGGCGCTGGCTCAAGGTGCCTCGCTGACAGATATTTGTAGAGCTGCGGGCTGGGCGACACCTAACACGTTCGCTAGATTCTATAGCCTTCGTGTAGAGCCGGTATCTTCCTGTGTACTCGCCCCCAGTGGCCAGTAGCGCCAAGGACCCGTTCTAGTGTTGGCTTGCAACGCCACTCCCGCCCGCTGGGCTGGATACGTGCGTCTATTGCTCCAGTAGAGTTCCCCAGAAATGGCTAACCCTGTGAGTTCCTCCGTCACCCCCCGGCAGCCTGACGTGGTGGAGCGTCCCTGCGGCGATCCCATATGTCTTCCACAGTAAGGCTACCCAGGCCGACTAGCCCGTGTCTTTCCCTCGACAGAGCCTGCTGCATCCCCTTCCCTTTTAGGGCACGCTTTCCCAACATTATCCAAATAGTCACACTGAGTGGGTCTTGCGGAACAGCAGTGACTGACCTTCTCTGCTTAGAGCCCTGACTCCCGCTCCAACAGTTGGGGGCGGTCCAGGAGTCTCAAGCAGAGTGCTGGAAGGGTGTCCCGTCGCCACAGTCGTTGTACCTCCGCTGTACGGCCGAGTCACTAGCTCGGCTCCTCAGCGGAAAAGCAAATATGCAACGCACCGACTGCTCATTAAATATTTGCAATGCAGCGCAGAGCAGCTGTGGCAATTATCGCATGCCAATGTTCATTGGCTCGATTTTCTTACACTCAAAGTAGATTGGTCTCCCAAAACGATCCCCAATTTGTCGGTCAGTTCTGACGTACGTCTCCGTTCCCTCCTTCAGGCAATGAGGGTTACATACGTAACCGAGACGTTTCCAATCAATTCTCAATATACAAAATCAAGTCCCACCCTACATTTATTTTCTCATTTGAGAAGCTGTTTCACTCAGATATACATTACATCAGAGAAGAAAAAATGAGCATTCCTATTTCATGCTGACTATAAGTACAAATTATTTTGTCACATATAAGTCATAATAAAATGGGATAGAATATGTTAAAAGGAAAACAAGTGGGAAAATGGAGCAAAAGTTCCATAACACACACACATAAAAAAAAAGGTACTTAGAGCGATCACATGGAGCCAAAATTACACAAAAAATGGTTTTATTACCAAAGCTGCTGATGTCAAGATTCTTCTTGATGACAACATCTAGAAGAGTCTCTCCCTCTGTGACAAACACGCTGGTCTTTACCCCCGACTGGTTTACAAAGTGCACCAGCACTTTAGATCCCGAGGAACTGAGAGCACACACACACACATACACAGATAAACATACTGAACTCATTTCATTGCACTGCTTTTCTCTGTAGAGGCATTCTTACTGACAAACAACAAGTGAGAATAGGTAGAGGCATTCTTAATGACAAACAAGTAAGAATAGAATTGCAAACAATGAATTGGCTTGAAGAGTCAAGTATTGTTAAATTAAAATACAAACAGTGCTTGCTACTGAAAGTTTCTGAGCAGGAACAAGGGCTAATTTTTATTTATTCATTTATTTATTTATTTATTTTGAGTGTGAATTTCAAAGAGGGAGTTCTGCACTAATTTAACTCTTGATTACACAAAGATGTTGATTAGTTTTAATCATTCTGTATGTTTGCAATCTCTTAATCGCTCATGTGCAAGGGAAGGCCCTTATGATTGCTCAGTTAGGCATTAATGAATTGCCTGTAAATCACAGAGAATGACACATTCAGTGGACACCTTTGGTGATTCCAGACCAAATGAAAAAAAAAATCTTTAATTAGACATTTGTCAAAGAACATCATGACATTAAACATGACCTCCTAGTCTTCCATAGTCTTTAAACAGTGCAGTTAGATAGCAAAATCATGAAAAAAGGCTACAATTCAAATTTTAGGTTTTTGGACTTACTACAAGTAGAAAATGAAAAGTAGATTACCATCCTCTCAACACAAGAAAAATGACCCTGACTAGGGCATTTGTCCTTGTCATTGTGTTTACGTGAACAGTCATAATTAATTTATGGGTTTTTGTGTAGTCGAGCTACATTCATTATTTGTCTGTCCAAGTATACATGACACGATGCGTAACTGAATATTTAAATGATTAAATACACGTTACATCATATGCACAATGACGTGGCCAATTGTAGGTCGATTTATGTGTGTACTTGTTGGACCATGCACAGCTACAAATCATATTATCTAAGTCTGTTAGTCTAACTCTGCAAAAATCTGACAGGCACAATTTCAGCCAGACTAAAGAGTTTATTTTAAAAAGACAAACTAGTTTCAGTCCAGGTTTTATTTTTAGCAAACTTGCTTTGGGACCATATGCATTTTAAAAAGCACTACATTTAATTGAATTAAGTGGTTCTATGAAGCAGATGACAAATGCCATGTCACTTCATGTGACTATTCCCGTTCTAGACTTTTCAGTGATGACTCATGTACTATGCACAGGGGACTCTGAACACATTTCATTGTCATCCATCCATGAATAACACATTGTTACATCCCTGCTTTTTTTTTTTTTTTTTTACATCCTCAATCACACTCTTTTGAGTTTTGATTTTGGATTTGCCCACTAATATGCTAGTTTATGTGACTTGGACTAATTAGTGGAGGTTGTTGCAAGTCACTCAGGCCTTTAAGCATTTTTATTTTTTATTATTTCTGTCATATATAGAGAGATATGTATGAGGGGAAAGAGGGTATAAAAAAGGTAGACTTAGGGGAAAGGGAAGTATGACATGCTGGCTGGGTTTTATGTGAAGAAACGGTGTGTAAGACAAGGCTTGAGGAGAGCTAAAGGTTATGTCCTCAGGTTTTACAAACATAGCCCTCTCCCAAACAAATAATATTCTACTAAATTCCCAAAGAGAGAAAATAAGGATCCCAAAAGATTCCCCCCCCCCCCCCCCCCCC